ACAAGTTTTAAATCTTGCCTTTTCCTGCAATTGTGCAACTTTATCATCAATTAAAGAGTGCTCTTCTTCAAGAATTTCTCGCTCAAGCTCAACTCCTTTTGAAGCTAGCTACAAAGATCAGTATACATAAACAAATGTCAAGAAAGTCCTACCAAAAAGCTGAAATACAGTAACGAATGAAGTTTAAAAGGAATATAGGATATAACAAAAAGAACATACAAGAGATTCCCTCTTAAATATTGCCTCTAAGGAAAAAAGTAATTAAAAGAAACAAAAAAATTGTTTTTTTAGAATATACTAGACACTCACAAAGGTTTTAGGCCAGAGAGATTTTGATTTGTTTTATTTTAGAAATCGAAGAATATACTAGAGAGTAGAGACTCTCAAAGGTCTTACACCAGTTTCAGCAAATTATAGTATAACTTACTTGTGAAGCTCCAGTTTGCTGAGGATTCCTTATGCTTCTTTTCAGCTCTGCAAAAGGTTAAAGGTCAGCCTATTAACAGACAAGCTTATTTCAATATAATCTTGACTACTCTAGCACCTTAAATAACTAATTTGCAACAATAAATGAAAGTTTAATTTTCACTGGCAAATTATAAGAGACATCCTTGCTGACATGGTTCCTACAATCCTGAAAGCAGCCTATCATAACTTTGCCTCATACCCAGAAAGTCTCCTTTGATCACATTCACATAATAACCACCTATTCTGTTAATAGCTTTAAATCACGAATATTCACCACTCTTTGATAATTGAACATACACAAAGTACATTAAGTATATGCTGTCCAAATAAGCTTGAAAATTGTCCTTATAGTCCTATACTAATCAGTCTAATCTTCAGCCCTTTTTATTAAAAATCCATAGACTAATCTCTAAGTTTTTAATATATTTTCAAGCTAGAATGAGACAGGTATAATCCTAGTTAGCCAATGAATATGATGAAAAAAACATTAATATCTATGGAATGAAACAATATATCTGACAATAAGTCATCGACTTTGCAAACGCAGTACCTTCAAGAACCAACTCTTTCGATGCAATTTGCTGTCTGAATTCTGCCACTTCTTTAACCTGATCCGAAACATTTTATAGTTAACTCACAATAATTTAATTTTTTTACCTAGATAAGAGGATGACCAAGGATCCCGATAATGAAGGATTAGAGTGAAGTGAGCTTTTTGGTCAATTCAAATATAAGAGTCTGATTTTGATTCTTCAGTCAGATTTGCAATCACAACATCTTTTGGAATTGAAAAGTCAATTCAATGTAGCCTTTTGAGTTTTAATTCCAGCAGTATTTTGTTAAAATTTCTAGATACTCTCAGTCCGTAGCCGGGATGAGGTCTTAGGATATTTGGCTCTTATCAGCTTTCAGTGTGATGTAAGTTTGGTGTTATTAATATCTTATTAATAATGTTGCTATTTTAGGAAATCTTCAATCCTCATAAATTTAGGGCTGAAGTCTAAATCCTTGTGATAAGTAGTGGAAAGTCTATTTTCCCATTCAACAATTAAAGAGTTAAGTTATATCAATAGCTACAAAACTTATATTCCAAGGATCATGTGACGGTAGAGGGAAGTCATCGAAGAATCTAAACATACCTCTACTTCAAGGTTCCACTGTACAGATGCCAGAGACCTTGCAAGATCAGCATTAGCAGTCTGCAACAAGTTCAGACAATTATGAACAACAAGCTTATCTTAGTATTTGTGGAACCTAAATGTCATCATAAAAGTGTAGCTAAACGTGTAAGAATAAGTTGAATTAACATACCTCCAGTTTAGCTAAACGTGTAAGAATTTCCATTCTAGTGTTATTATGTTTCTGTTTTTCTAACTCAACAGCTTCCATTGTTTCCATCATAGTGGACTGAAGTTGTGAAGCCTAAACAAAGAATAAAAAGGATTAACTAAACATGAATATACAACCAACAGATAAAAATCATTAAGTGCCAACAAGAACAGACATCTAGACACCAATTAATTTCAAAGCAATTTCAGATCATTAGGAGAAGGAACTCTAATACTATAGAACATCAAGCACGATAAAAACATTCCAGAAATTTGTCCAGGATTATTCATATGATCATATCCTACAGCATCATGTTGATTGTTGAGCATGAGCAAGTATAACACAAAAGTGAAAAAAAGCAAACATAAAGAACAGTTCTAAGAATTGTCATAACATTACCTCTTGTGCTTGTTGTTTAGCTCGCTCCTCAAGAATTTTCTCTAGACTTTGCTTCTCCCCCTCCAATTTGGCCACCGTGTTCTCCCGTTCCTTGATAGCATTTATTGCTTTAGCTGCCGCTTTCTCAGCCAGAACCCTCTCCCTCTTCTTTCTCATTTCCTCCCTCTCGCGTTCACTCTCAGAATCAGAAGTTGAACCAGAATCTGTATCTGAAACAGAACTTTCATCGCTTGCCATAGAAATAACCCTTTTCAAATCATCCGATGTTGAATTTCTAGAGACTGCATTAAGCTCACCCCTACTCATTTCACTTCTCGATTGACCACCACCAACATCGCCTGCCATCTTAGCATCATGTACCTTATCAACCACCGATATTTCCATTCTTTCTGCAGCAAAATTTTCGTTCTCTTCCTGCATATCTTCTTGCGGAGAACAGTCCCTATAATTAAAACTATTCTTTTCATTTTGCTTATCATTTGTCTCAACCACAAGCTTTTCAACATTGCCGTTACCATCAATCTCAGATTCTTTCCCAACATCACCACTACCCTTTCTACTCAATTTAACTTCTTTCAAAGAGTTCAACTTCTTCAAAGATCTTGACTCACTCTTTGAGTTCCTCTTTACATCCGAAATCAATGACCCCGAAGACACAATATCCTTCTTCCTACTATTATTGCTGCTAAAACCACGAGTTACAGGTATTCCATTGCTATGGCTAGGGTTTAATGCAGAAGCCGAAGACTGATTAGGTGAGCTAAGTAGTTCGGTCCAATCAGCATCAGTCAGTGTAGGGGTAGGGGCAGATTTGGGTGCATTTGTTGTGGTTTTAAACACATTGAAATTGGGATCACTATACAATTTCCCATGATAGTCATTGCTGTTATCATGAGTTTTCTTCTTCTTCAACTGATTCTTCAGAGACACAGAACTCGCTGATTTCGCAGGAGCATCATCAATGCTAAGTTCATCAGATCGAAGCCTCTCGTTCTTCCGAAGCGATTCAGCTGCTTGTTGATCGATCTAAACGGTGCATCACACTATTAACTTATAATAATAGTAACAGCAACAACACTAGCAGCAGCAGCAATAATGATAACATTACACCATTAATTAATAAAAATAGCAGCAGCAACAACAACAATAGCAATCACAACGCGAATTAAAATTAGCGAAGAGAATTAAAAATTTAACAAGGTTTTTGCATAGTTAGGGAATCGATAATTAAGGTAACGTGAAAAAAAACAATGAATGAAAAAAATGAGAAGCGCTGGTGATGTGTTCTGTACTTGCCTGATGAAGAAGGTTCTCAGCGACTTTGAGTTTAGAAGAGATCCAATTCGCCATTGTTGTGTGTGAGAGAGAAAAGAGAATCAGCGCGTGAACTGCGTGGGAAAACGGTTACAGAATTTGGAACTGTTTAGCTAAACGCAGCGTTTAGAAGAAGTTATGTTAATAAGATGGTGAATGATGAAGAATTGGGGAAAGAAGAAAGGTGCGGGAAGAGTGACATACGGGTCGTGAAACATGTTTGATGTTGAGTGAATAACACTGTTTCTATTGGGTCCCACAAGCGTTACACTATGAAGTTACTTCCATAACGACCATCCAACTAACAGGCTTTACATTGGGCCATTTTCAGATTAAAGATTGGGCTTTCATCCAAGGCAAAATGAGTTCGTATTATAATTTTGTTTCTCTAGTGAGAATGGTTTATGAACTCAAGACTGAAGTTTGTCATTTTTGTTTATTTTAAAGAAAGTAATCTTTAGAATAGCAAGACAGATACGTTTAAACAGCCTACCCGATTATAAACTGAGCTTTTATTTATAAAAAAGTTTGAAAAAAATGAGTTGTGAATTTTTTATTGCTTATTTTTTCCAACCAACTTCACCTCTCAAATTCTAATAGCTTCCTTTTTTGTATTTACATTTCGTTAGATTGCTTATTTTCTCATTTGTGAGATATTTACTTTGTGAATTATTTAATTCAAGTTTAATTACTTCTAAATGTATGTCATGTATATTGATTTTTATTAAAATATTTTTTAGCATTCATAAGGTATTAAAAATTATAAAATCTAAAAGTATATATGATAATAAATATTAAAGAATGCATATTTTAAAAATACCATAAAAACAACAATAACATAAAAAAATTGCTTTATAATTTACTCTATAAAAAATTAACTCTTACTCAAGCAAAAGAGATTAATTTATATTCAGTTTTTTAGACTATAATACCTAAACATAAAGTCATAAACAGATTGTTAACTGGTTAAAACTAATTGGAATCTTGAAACATTCTTGGATTGTCACAAACTTCACACCACGTTTACACACATCCCATTCTTAACTTAGTATGTAGCACTTGCTCCATTCGGCTCGAACGAAACCTGTAATAGCTAGGCCACTTTGTTAGTTTCCTATTCGTTAGGGAGACGGATAAATAAAGGGACAAACCATAAAATTCCCCCTCAGGCCCGCACATGTCCACGTGTAGTATGCACGTGACCATTTCAGGCTTTTTTGTATACTGACTTTACTACATGTAATATTATATATTGATTATTAACCTATGAAACGTAAAAAAATAGTGATACACCTCACGAGAGAAAAAAGAAAGTAATTATGATTCAAAATAAATGCTCATGTAGTTATGTGATGCCAAAGCCATATTGGGTAGTGGCTGGGACCTTCTGTTACAATAATACCTTATCATACACATCCATGGACCGCGGAATCTCTTCTTTCAATAAAGATAGTAGTTTGACCGTCAACCATTCCCCACGTCTTCAACAACTCTTCCTCCTCAACAAAATATCATAACTATGACCAGGTATTTCTAAATTAAATTTGACACTATGGGTTTATTATAACCATTAAAGCTCTAATTATTTTTATAATTAATCATAGTTTATAAGATCATTATTTATTAATTAATGAAATTTGTGAATAATCAATTAAAGGATGCCGAAAAACAACATTTGGATTCAAAACTCATCAACTACAACAAGGCGTTTATTAGAAGGTGAACGTTGAAATCAAACAACTACAATTTGGGAATACAAACACCAATTACGGAAATTCTTCAACACAATGACTTTTGAACCATCATTTTTTTTACAAGTGAAGTCGATAATCGACGCAAATAAAGATACATCATATACTAATTTTTATTTAAATCTTCATTTGGTTCACCAGAAAACATGTACCAAAAAAGATTCAGCATAAAACTCCTAATTACATAACGAGAAAATAAAGAAAATTAGAGAGAAGTTCTGATAGTATCCTAGCATCAATCTTAAAACGCAGATCTGTTAAGAGATTTGCAGTTACCTATAACGATATAGGTAAATTGTAAATCTAACGTTCTTAATCTAAGAAACGGCGCCGTTAGCGTTAACATTATTGTTGCTGCTCATCATCTTCTTAAACTCATCAAAGTTCACGTTACCGTCACCGTCGGAATCCACCGATTTGATCATACTGTGACATTCCTCGACGGAACACTTCATCCCGAGGCGGTTCAGCACAAGGTGAAGCTCCGAAGCGGAGATGAGGCCATTCTTGTCCTGATCGTATAGATCGAACGCGTCGCGTAGCTCAGACGCACCACCGTCGGAGCGACAGAAGGCGCCAAACTCGGAAAAGTTGATGAAGCCGTCGTGGTCGGTGTCGAGATCCTCCATAACGCGCTGGAGTTCCGCGGCGGATACGGCGGAGCCGAGAGAGCGGAGGACGGTGTCAAGCTCCGTGATGGAGATCTTGCCATCGCCGTTTGCGTCGAAGCTACTGAAGACTCGCTTGAGTTCGTCGACGTTCATGTCTTGGAGGTATATGGATTCGGTTGTAACCGGTGCGATAGGGTTCGTGTCCGCCATTGTTAGCGCGATTCAGAGAGAGCGAAAGGGGAAACAAAAAGTTTGGAGCGAATGAAACGGTGGTGGAGGGACAATATAGGTTTGGGATTTTATACTATTTCGATATTTGTGTTGATCCCATCTTTTTTATTTAATAAATGAGGAAAGGGGAATAATGATTTTTTTTCCTAATTTTTGTGAGTCTATTTTTAAAGATATTTGGATATATTGTTGGGCAAGGGGAATAATGATTTTTTTTCCCTATTTTTTGTGAGTATATTTTTAAAGATATTTGGATATATTGTTGGGGCGAATTATAATATGAGAGGTATAGTATAAGATGAATATGATAACATGTGTTTTGATAAATTTTAAACTATTTTAAATAAAAGGTTATGAATTATAAGACTTATTATTTACTTTACATTTTAGTATTGAATTCTTTGGTATGTCATCTCGGATAAAACTATTCTTGAAAGATAGTTTTACTATTTTGCTATATGAATTAAAACCTTACAAGTATATCTATATATACTAATATAAAGGAAAACACAAAATAATCACTCATAATGGTGTAATTTTTGTTTCCTATTTTGCCCATAATAATCTATATTTTCTACTAAAAAATCATATAACATATTTTCTCATTTTATGTTTCATGTTTGTTTAAGTAATTTTTACAGTTTTTTCATTTGAACACGACAGTTTTTCTACATGTATTAAGACAATATTTGAATACAATAGTTTATCCTTTTCATTTTTTTAACATGCAAAATTACAATTCATTTAATAGAAAATCGGGTTGATAGACATATGAGTGTCTATCAACACGCTAGTATTAAGAATGAGGAAACTTACTATTTATCTTAACTATCAATTTTAGTGTAATTCAATAGTTTGAATTTGTTGATAAATCTAAACCATTAAATTTTTCTAGAATTGATAATTAAGATATTGAATAAGTTTTCAAGTGGATTCCTACCATTAAGAATTATGAGCATAGAATATTTATTAATATATGCTTTTATTATGAATGTAGGGGCCAAGTGGTTGGGAATAGTGAGGAGGGGCATGTGCCAATTTGGATGGTCTTAATCTGCAATTTCCGCATTGTGATGTTGACACGCGGCTGGGTAAGGACACGGGTTGAACGCGGTTCAAAATTAATGATACGAAAAATAAAGATCAAAGAAAGAACAAAGTATCATCAATTTGATTTTGATGGCATAAATAAATAATAGTAAAAATGTATTCGTTGCTTTCAAGAATAGTCATCTTTCATGTTCTTGCGTACCAATCAGGTAAAGGAAACTATGTGATCTTAGTTGAAAACTGATTACAATTGAGTGTTGATTTTTAACCAGCATGTAACATAGGTTACATAAAACTGATTCACGGTTATGCTCATTCTACTTCTTTTTTTCTTTACGAATATAATCAACTCTACTTAAAACTCATTCGAATCAAACTGAAAATTGTTGAGAAAATTTGTAATACGTTATTATACAAAGTATTATATTATTTAATATTGAAATAAAGTATTAGGATTAGAATCAACGTTTCAAGGGAAACTTAGTTGGGCATTCATTAAGTCTAAAAATTAATAGAATCCTTGTGTTTTATTTAAGGCATTCCCCCCACTCTTGTGGGTCCCGTTGGCATTTTTACGTGCTCCCTTGTATCTTATTGTATTTTGAGATGAAAATTTGAATTTGAAAAGTCACAATAATTAAATGTAAGTATTATAAGAGTTTGAAAAGATAAAATGTGTTATGAGATTTTGAGAAATCTAAAAAATATTAGAGATGTAGATGTATTAAGTTTATGTGGAAAATCTTCCATCCTTGTTTTTCTTTGGGCATGGTTATAAATAATGTATAGCTAGGTAATTGGTAAATTAAATCGATCAGAGGCCAAACCATATAAAAAATGTATATGTATCGAAAGTTTCATATTTTTCAAATGACACATTAACGACTTGAACTTAGTTGTTTGTAGATTGTAATATATATGCAGTGATAGTGTAAAGATTTATACACAATTAGTACATTTTCTATCATTTATTTATATTACTTTTATTTAAGAGTCAAATATGATTGAAAATGAATATGGGAAGATGTAGTGACAAAAACACTTACACTATTACTATATACATATTTTCTAATAGTGGTATGCCATTAAATTATGTTTAAAATAATGATATTTATATTTGCAAATTATGTTTAGAGTAAACTACACTCACATTTCCTGAGTTTTAGTGAAATTACAAAATCATCCCTCATTTTTTTGTCCTTACACGAATCACCCCTAATTTTGTACATATGTTACACTAACTACCCTTGTATGATGTGTGTAATTAATTAAACAAAATATTGTATATTGTGTAGACAAATTCAAATAATATAAGAGACTATGCGTCTTCATTATTTGGCTCATTATAAAATAGTATAAGAGTTATTTAAACATTTTTTTGAAATTATTAATGTATTTTTTAATGACACAAAAATAATAAAGAAACACTCGTTTTCGTACTATTTGAAGTGTTACACAATATACAATATTTTGTTAATTTTTTCTTTAAAATATTACACTTTTATAATATGCAATGGTAGTTAGTGTAATATATGTATAAATATATGAGTGATTTGTGTAGGATTGAGGGGTGATTGGTGTAAGGACAAAGAAGAAATGAGTAATTTGTATGACGTGTTGTGAGTGTAATTTACTGTTACGATTATTACACTATACTTGACTTATATGTGCTCGTGTTAAATCATAATTTGCCTTTGCATGATAATGGATACCATATTAAGCGCATGATACGATGCATGTGCAATTAGGTACAATCTTTTGTTGTACTTCACAACTTTTATAACTTGATCTTTCAATTCTTCAAGATATTTTAATTTGTTAATGATGTCTTGAAGCTTAGTTTTGGGAGTGGAACTTCAATAAAAGTGTCCACAAATATATTTCTTACCCAAAAACATTTGAAATTTGGAACTCGTTCTTAATTAAATGGAGAAAATTAGAGCATCGGGAAAGTTAAAAAAATAATGGGAAAATGATTCTTGATACATATGGACATATGAATTTATAAAGAATAAGTCACTTAAATACTTATTTAAAAATTTAGTTACCTTATATATACTAGCGTGTTGACAAATACTGTCAACTTGTTTTTTTATTGAGTGAATTGTAATTGATTTGTATATTTTTATTACAATTTTCATAACTATAACAAAATCAACAAAACATGATTTGCAATTTTGCATGTCAAAAAATGAAAAAGATAAATTATCGTGTTCAAATATTGTCTTGATCCATGTGGAAAAACTGTCGTGTTCAAATGAAAAAACTATAAAACTTACATAATCAAACATGAAACATAAAATGAGGAAATATGTTATATGATTTTTTGGTATAAAATATAAATTAGTAATGACAAAATAGGAAAACACAAATTACACCATCATGAGTAGTTAATTTGTGTTTTCCCTTTATATATTAGTATAGAAATATATATAGAAATATATATAGAAATATATATATATATATATATATATATATTAAAAGTGTTTTTTTCAGTTGATTACTAGCAGTTGCATGAGTAATTGAGTATAAATAAATTAGCAAATATTTTTTTAAATACATGATTTCATAAAAACGATTTTATTTCCTCAATAATGATAAAATTTGTTCATTAGTTTTGTAGGATCCCATAACTAACGTTCAATAGAGTTAATTGTGACCTAAGGGAAGACCCAAAATTAAGGTCTCGCGATCATAAATGGATTATACTGCACGGTCCATCATCTTCATTTTCATTAGAGCCACCTATTTTTGTGTTTCCATCAGAGCCAATGCTACAGAAAGTGAATTCCTCCCTCAAATAAACTTTACTTACTATCTTACTAGGTCAAACTTTCTATATATATCAAATTCATTATTTATTAGATATTTAAATGGAAAATGATATATCCTCCTACCCACAAAAAAGTGACATAGGTTACAAAGTGATACTTTATTTATTAGTGATTGATTTATAAGGGACATATGTCACTTTTTTGTGGGTAAGATTTAGTAGGAAAATATAGCATTACAATATATAATTTAGCATAATAGTAGATATTTTGAATATATTTTCTCATCCATAACATAGATAGCAAACCGAATCCAGGATGGAATGTAATTTAGTTACATTAATAAATACAGAGCCAAAAGTTTAAGCACCCCATAACATCATTTTCTATATATGAAGAGTAGGTCAACATAAAATCAGCATAATAATCAAATAAGAAAATGAAAGATTGTACTAATCATTACAACATAATTAGAATATAAATGAAACATAACCCTAAGTAGATAATTAAGGAGAGTAATATATCAGGGGTGATGAGGGCAAAAAGTGACCAAATAGTTAGCCCTAGTGCAAGTGGCAATACTAGTGGGGTCATCATAGGCATAGGAATAAGCTTTGGGGCAAGCACTTTTGAAAATTCTGGAATACGCTGTGGGCTTACAGGCCTGTGGGCTTCCATAACTACCCGTGCAACAATACCTAGGAGAATTAAAAGCAGAGCAAGCACTCTTACACGCCACCACGCGCTTCATGTCGCGTGACCTCACCTGCAAGCCCACCGGGCACATCAAGTTCAGATCACTCACGCACCCCGCGTAGCTACACTTGCCGGAGCCCTTGACCGGGGTAATGGAGATTGGGAGGTTGTAACCGTCGACGAGGCTGACGTCATAGAAGTCCTGGTCGTTGCCGAAGGTGAATTCGGCTAGGGTGGCGGGTGGGGTGCCGCCGATACCGTTGCAGAAGAGGGCGCCGCCGCAGTCTCCGGTGGCGCATTTGCCGCGGCCCGTGGTGTCGAATGCGCAGCCGTGGCGGCCCCAGAAGCGACCTGACCAGAGAGGTGGGAGTTGGAGGGATTGGGCTTTGTTGGAGGCAAGCTTGAAGCCTCCTCGGGCCAGGATGGGCTTTCCTGCGCCGGGCTGGATCCCGGGCCAGACTGGGTGCGAGCACTTGTTGTAGAAGA